CCTCCCGCCACCCCGCCCGCCCCGCAGCCCCGCTCCCACCGCCGCGCTCCCCAGCCTCGCGGCGCGCACCTCTCCCTGGAGTACAGCCGCAGCTGCTGCTCCTGCCGCCTCTTCCGGATAAACGCCATGGAGGGCGGGCGCGGGCCGGGAGCGCGCGGCGGCGGCCTGGCTTCCCGAGGGCGACCGAGCCCACGCTGCGCCCTGCCCCGCTCCCGGCCGCGCTCACCGCTGCATCCCGCGTGGGGACTCCGGCGGCGCCGTGACTCAGGGCCGGAGGAGGGGCGCGCGGTCGGCACCGGGACGCTCCGGGGACCTGGCCCGGACCGGAACCACGCTCCCGCCGCTCACCCTTGCCGACCGACCTTGCAGGGAGGGCTGCGCTGGAAGACTTCAGTTTGCTGGGGGCAGGAACTTGAAATACATTTAGGGTCTTAGATTCCAGCTCTCAAACGTTCAAATAGGTCTCATGACTTTATAACAGTTCTAGTGAGATGTAACTCACATACCAAACAACTTAGTTTTAGTGTATTCACAGTTCTGTGGCTTTCATCACAATTTAGAGCATTTTCATCAATTCAGACATACCCTGTAGCCATTACTACCCGAAACTGCCTATGCTCATACCCCCTTCCCTAGCAAACTACTGAACTAATGTCTCAAAGAATTTGCCTGCTCAGGACTTTTCAGAGGACTGTGGCCCACAATACCTTCTGCATCTGACTCTTTCCCTTTAGCATAATGCTTTCAAGGTTCGTCTGAGCCGTTAATGTGACTAGGCTCTTCATTCCCTTTTACTGCCGAAACTTACTCCCTTGTGTGCATGTAGTACATTTAGTTTATATTTATGCACTGAAGAATCCTGCTGCACACATTCAGGTGCTAGTTTTTGTACAGACATATGCTTTCCTTTCTGTGCATCAGAATTGGTATCTAGGAGTGAAATTACTGGGTCATACGGTAATCGTGCCTCTAAACTGGGAAGAAACTCTCAGCCGGTTTCCAAAGAGGCTGCGCCACCCAGCGTACTTCCACTAGCCGTGTAGAAAGCTTCCAGCGTCTCTGCGTCTTTGCCAGTCTTTGCTTGGTTTGCCTTGGTTTGTTTTTCTGAGACAGGGCCTTTCTGTGTAACCTAATCCAGAGAGATCTTGCCTCAGCCCCTGCAGTCCTGAGATTACTGGCGTGGGTCGCTGCTGATACTTGTTTTATCTGACTTTTATTAGAGCTGCCCTAACGCGTATGACGTGTTTTACAGTGTGCATGAGTTTTTAGCACTCTGAGAATAAGGCTGTGACTGTTTACCTCTCAGGGACTCTTGACTAACAAGTGTCTAAGTTGTGTGCACGCTAAAACGCACCTCATACTGTCTTCAGTGCAGGGTTCTGCAGGGCTCTGTATGTTGTTCAAGCTTTAAGATGAATGCCACCAAGCTCTGTCCAGTAGTGGCGGACTCTGAGAGGGAGCTGGGCAAAGAAAGAATAAAATCTGGGACTGGGTCTTTTGAATTGGATCTTTGGTGAAATAAAATGCAGTATGTAGAATGGATACCTATTAAAAATATTTGGAATAAGTGATGGTGCCTCGGTACCTGTGACATGGAATCGCTTCCAGGTCTCCAAGTGCTGCACAGAACTTTTAACTGTAAACAGATTATCGGAGACAGTGGTTCAGCATTCCTGTTGAAAATTGTGATCTTGTGGGATAGCCAATATACAAATACCTAAGGAAGTACAGGCTGAAATAAGCTTTCAAGAAATACCACATGACAAATTTCTATGTGAGAACAACTATAATAGATGCTATGAATTCAAGGGAGGAAAATTAATTTGGCTGGAATAAGGCAAGAAAACTAACAAAACATAAATTTCCGTCTTTTGGCTAACATTAAGGAAAGGTATGATCCTCGTAGGAGGAGGGTGACAAAGAATCCCTCCTTGACCGCACTGTAGCCAAAGGCCCAGTGAGCCCTCCTAACTAGGCCTGGCCCTTGGCCTGTAAGATCTGTGCAAGCCCAGGACACATGATTTTATCCCTGCCTCCCCCAAGACTTGAATGTGTGGTTTCTAATAGTTCCCTTGAATGACACTAACCCCCTTACAGGGCCTGCTGAAGGTCTCCAAAAGGATTCACAGTTGTTCTGGTCAGCCTCCGCAATAAGGCTCTTGCGACCTTTTCTTAGATTTGCTTAAAAAAGTTTATGTTTGTGAATCATTCCTTTGTCCCTTTGAGACAGACTCCTGATGTATCTCCCTCCAGCTCAGAAGTGTCTTTCCCAAAAGGACCTAAGCAGCATTTGTTTGAAATGTGCTTACCAGGAAGGACAGGGCCTCTGTCTGCCACTCTCTGGGAAGGTAGAATCCCAGCTGGCCAGGGCGAGCAGCCACACTTGCCGTCATACTCACACCAGCCAACCCTGGTAGCTATCACTTCCTCCACTCCCTGAGCCTCCAGTTGGCCCCTTCCCCTGTCGTTCTCCCTTCAGTATGTCCAGGTTTGTACAGATCAAGCTGAATTTAGTTCATGCTGAGCCCTCTTCCATCTTGCAGAGGTAAAACTGTGCTTACCACTTTAGCTAGTGTCTGCTTTGATTTATCTTTTTATTTATCTTTGAGAAGAGGGGAAGAAACAGTTTTTTTAAAAAGTTTTAACAATAGCTCAAAAGAAAGATGAGAGATGCTGAAACAGAGAGGTTGAAGTGGACTTTCAGAGCTAAGCTGTTTCTTTTGCTTCTTCATGCTGAGAGCAGAATTGCCACCTCCAGCCCTAGAGCTGAGGAAGTTTCAACAAAATCAGACTTTAAGCATTTCTCTCCATCTTCTGGTGGACCTCTGGCTGAATCTACACATGTGAATTTCCTGGCTTTGTTCTATCCAGACTACAGGTTGAAGATCTCGTGTGCATTCACAAAGGGCTGGACTAGCTGCTCTTCCAATTTGGCCCAATTGTGAGTAGCCCTCCACCTCCCATTTTGCTGAGCTTTCTAGTACTCTTGATGGCAGGCAGAGATAAGAATGCGGATAGCTGGGGTCTAGATTCAGGGCTTTTGCCAGTCTTGTGGAGTAAGGATTCTGCTAAAACAGGGCTTGTGTTGGTAAGGATTTAAGAGAGAGCTGAGATGGCTGCTCGTGCCCCCTCCCACCACCGAATCCCCATGCTGCACCTGCTCCTGCAGGTTGTGATTTGGTCTCGCCAGCTGAAGGGACAGTTGCTCCCATGGAAGCCCAACCTCTTTTCTTTGCAGCAACAGCTCTTGCTACGATCCTTTCTCTCTTCCCTTTTTCTCTCTTTTACTTTAACTTTCTCCATCACTACTGAATCATTCCCATCTGAATGTAAATGTTTTCAAGAACCTTTCTCTTCCTTCCTCCGTATTCCCTTGGGATTCTCATTCTCAGCAGAATGCCCCGAAGCATCTTCCTGCACACGCAGTCTCCATTTTTCTCATCCTGCCATCTTCCCCAATTCCAAGGCTCCGCTGTGTGGTTCTCATCCAATCTCTGCATTCATTGGTCACGTTTCCGCTTTTCTGAGCTCTCAGCAGAGCCCACTGTAGCTGGCACAGCATGCACTTTGCTCCTTCCCAGAGAACATTGTCCCCTGGCACTTCCACATTTCCACAAGGTCCTTGCTTTTATTTTTCCTAACTGGTTTCTTATTCTTCAGTGTCTTTAGTCAGCTTCTCTCCCACTTTTTTTGTGTGTGATGGAGTCCTGCTTTGTACTTCAGGTCTTGAACTTGCGGTGACCCTCCTGCCTCACGCTCTAGTGCTGGGATCACAGGCTTGCACCGCCACACCCAGCCCTGCTTGACTTAATGTTGATTCCCCAGGGAGAAAAAATTTCGGATACTTTCATTTTCATTGCTTCAGGTTAAGCATCTCATCAACTTCACCACTGGTAAAGACAATTGTTTGGGTAGAGAGAGAGAGAGAATATAAATTAAATTGAGCAGTTACTTTCCAAGGTTTTATCATGTATCTACTAAGGCAGACATGGAGGGAAATGCCAGAATTCACAGTAAAGTAAAAGAATTCAGAGGCTGAGTGAGACATAATGTTGCAATCTATGTCCTTTAGGGGATGGAACTTTGGACAGAGCATTGTCCATGCAGTAGGTGAAGCAAAGACTTCCATCAGTCTTACCTTGCTCTTCCATGGTTGACATCGAGTGTGAAGCACTGTTCCTGAGGCAGGAAGGCAGGGCATGGGTAACATTGCCTGGGAAAGGAGTATGATGAGACCCCAGGGCAGGTCTCAGATTCCTGCGTGTGGACTGCTCACAAGACCACAGGCAGGGTTTTGATGACACACACATGACCCCAGTGTGGGATACGTGAGAGGGGCCGGTTGCCATGAAGCACTTTTTATTTTTTCTCACTTTATGCTTGGCTGAGACTCGCTCTTCAGAGTACACTCCCCTGAGCCTTCTGATTTTTCTCCTACCTTTTATAGATGTGAAAGTTTGCCGCCATTTATGCATGTTTTGTTCAATCCTTTGGGAGAAAAAGGACAGAGAAATCACCTCTAAAAGGAGACTTTGGTACCCCAAAATTCTGTAACATAATTTGGCAAGCTGGCCAGGAGAACAGGTAGGCCCTTTGGGCAATGTATTCCCTGCCCTTCTCTCTTTTCTCTCTCTTTCCTAGGCTGAGGATTCAGGAACCCTTTCTTCAGATGCTTGGAATTGCTTTGTGCTTATACCACTGTGTGTGTGTGTGTGTATGTGTGTGTGTGTGTGTGTGAAGGGTGGGGTGGTTGCTGGAATGCATGACTCTGTATTTTTCTTCTAGCCATAGGAGACCTACAGGCCCATCCCAAGTTGATCCCTTTCTGTTTTTCCATTTGCAGTCACTGCCAATATGGACTAAGTAGCCAGAAAGCCTGTTGTTATGCCCTTTTGCCCCACCATTTCTGCTCTCTGTGATATTTTGCTACAATTTAGGAAACTACCTTGGTCTCTGCTTACCCCAACTTACTGCTTTTGAGCTCAGAGTCCCACCCATGCTTCCCCCTAGCTATCCTTTTCTTCTCAGGGTGCTATCCTGGTCTGGGTCACCATCTTGTCTTACCACCTGGCTGGTCACTGACTTGTCCTGTCATGTGACTGATACCATTTGGACTCAACTACTGCTTGTTTGTTTGCCATTGTTTTTCTTCTTTTCTCAATTTGTCCTATGATCCCAGGTAATCTCACCCTTGTAGATAGGAGATAAGCCTCTGATTTTAAATAACATGTGGGCTACCTGCTGTTATACCCTGTTAAAATTGACTCCATTTTGTTGCCCTTCTAACCTCTCCGAGTTCCTGTTCTGTATGCGCGGACCCCTCCCAATTCCTCCAATTCCTCACCCCTGTGACTCAA